ACAACGAGAGGTCATAGTCTAATAGACAATGAGGGGGCATAGACTAAATGACAATAGGAAGTTTCTGAAATAAATTATATGGCAGGTACATATTGTACACTATTCAGTTGTTGAAAAATTAACATTTATTTTTATGTGTGTGTATCCATCTGTGTGAGTTTATGTGCATTGTATGTAGAAGTCTGAGGAGGCCAGAAGAGGGCAGCAGATTCCCTGAAACTGGAGTCATAAACAGTTGTGGCCCGCCCTGTGGGAACTAAACCCAGGTCCTCTGCAAGAGTAGTCAGAGCTCTTAACTGCTGAGCTATCTCTTTGGTCTCAAATGATTGCAAATTGATTCAAGATTCTTAAATCTGTATTCTTGAACATTGCCCTTAGATTACACATAGGTATTTCTCCTGTGTGAACATACATACAGTTGTCCCTCGGCATGTTGCTCATCTCAGACTTGTAAGGGTTTCAACAAAGAAGAATGTTTATAATGAATCAGGATTTGTTGCAGTTGTGAAAAGGAGCTCACAGTATCTGGGGGAGGGAAGTTACAAAACTGTATTCTTCCTTGTTAGAACAGTCGCATATGTTATAAATGAAGGCATATGAGCCTTAGTCCAAAAGTGGTGGGGTTTGCTTTTAAATTATTTTATTTTGTTTTATTTTATTCCTGAGGCAGGTTCTCACTATGTTAGTCCTGGCTGACTTGGAATTCACTCTGTACACCAGGCTTGCCTCTGCCTCCTAAGTGCTGAGATTAAAGTCATGCGCCACCATACACAGCTTAATAATTTTAATGCTTTAAAGATTTATTTCTTATTTGATATGTGTGCCTGTGTGAATGTAAGCCATACATGTATGGGTGTCCGCAGAGACCAGATCTAACAGAGGATGATTGGTCCCTGGGAGCTGGCGTTACAGGAAGTTGTGAGCCACCAACATGGGTGCTGGGAACAGAACCTGTATCCTTTAGAGGAGTATCAAGCTTTCTTAACCACGGAGCAATATCTTAAGATTAAAAAAAAAAAAAGTGTGTGTATGTGGGTGGGGGAGTAGTTCAGTGGCCAAGCATGTGGGAGGCCCTGGGTTAAATTACCAGGGCTTAAAAATAAAATATTAGGCCTTCCTTAGCTTCTTTAAAGTAAACATATCTTCAGGACTGGCTAGTTCATCAGGTATTGCTCCCCTGTCCCCTCTACCCTCTGACCCTGCCCCCTCTGCCCTCAAACCCCACGTTATCTGCCCAGCATTTCCCTCCCACCAGCTCCAACAGTGGAATTGGGTCCAATTTTTCTTCTTTCTCTCCAGAGTTTGGTTCCGGCTCCTTCCACCCCCCCCCCCCCCACACACACACCCAGGATACCATCAGGGAGGGGCTCTCTTCCTCAGGCCTCAGTCCTTTATCTGTTACATGACAAAGTCCTTACTTATCTGGTAGGACTGACTTGGTGATTTACAAAACAGCTGCCTGAAGCTTCCCTTGTGGAATATAGCGGTTGGGATGAGTGGAGTTCATCACACTGATAACCCAGTAGCTTTGCAGCTTCTGAAATCTCAGCCTGTATCCTTGAACGATGAACCCTCTGAGGAAGATGCCAGAACAATAGTTCACAACTACACCACAACTGTCCACAGAGACATCACTGTGGACCCAGGGAAGGCTGGTTTCTGAACAAACCTTAAGAACCTATCAGTTGGTCAAGTGTGAGTCAGCTTTCTGTAACTGTAATAACCAACATTTTCTTTTAAAAAGGAAAGGTTTGTTTTGGCTCCCAGGCCCATAGCTTATTGGCCCTACTGTTTTCACTCTGTGGCAAGACACCACATTGTGGTGCAAACACTTGAAGGAAGGATCCAGAAAGTGAAAGGAAGATAGGAAGAAAGAGCCAGGTCCTCCAATCCCCTTCTAGAGCACACTCCTGATGCCCTCACTTCCTCTCACTTCGCTCCACCTGCTGAAGGTTCTGCCGCCTCCCAGTTGCACCATGGGCTGGGGGCCTTGGTCTGTGCCCTCAACACATATCCAATACCAACAGGTGCTTTGAACTACAGATGGTTGAAGTCGTGTTTCTGATGCTCATTAGCTATGGCATTGGCCAGATTACCTGAAGTCTGTGGATCACCACTGATTTATTTAAAGAATGAGGGTGACAAGAGTGAGTACTTTTATTCCTACAATGAGTCCAGGACTACAGTGCAATGGCTCAATGAATGCGCGCGCGCGCACACACACACACACACACACACACACACACACGTACAGTGCCTGATATATTGGTGTGTCTCACAACTCTTGGCTGTTGGTATAATTACGTAGAAATCTTTCTCTGCGCCAAGGCCATGAGAGCGTGAGTCTGTCTTCAGTGCCAGGCTTGTGGTACAGAATTTGGACATGGCCCGTCTGGTGCTGTCGGAGCTCCCAACTTGTGTCAACCGCTCTCTCTAAGTACCTCCCCAGATCCTTCAATTCCCCACGACCTCGTCTCTCCTTTATTCCGGGCACATGGGCCTTTGGGCCTGTCCTTATCCACTCCTATAGTCATCTTTCTGTAAGTGCCCCGTGTGTCTTTCCCTCTGCCACAAGCACAGTGCCGAGGAGTGACTGTACCGCCAATCGTCTCAGAGCTCCGACTCCAGTGGCTCAAACACGTTTGTACTTTATTTCCCCCTTCTCCTGCATCAAAGAAAAGCGCACTACAGAGCAGGCACAGTAGCTGCATCATCAAACAGACCTTCTTATCTCACGGCTTCCATCTTCAAAGTCACGGTGACAAGGTCAGCGCTTCACTTCCAACCATCAAATGCTCATTCCAAACAGCAGGAAAGGCCAAGATGGCAAAAGGTGACTGCACCGCCGATGCCCTCTAGTGAACGTTCGTGAGAGCCTCAGTGGGGTTCTGTCTTTTGACCACTCTTATCTTCAGCAGAGGGCTGTGGTCTTTCATGTGGGCACACTGTTGATTCCAACTGAAGTCAGCATCTTCCTAAGGAAAAATGAGGAAGCAGCCAGTTTATGTGGCCACAGGCACATAAACTGTGCTGCAGGCAGTGGGGAAGAAGATTGAGGACTTAATTCAATCGGTACAGTACTCACCTAACAGCAGGAAGGCCTGGGTTCTGAGTCCAGCACCACAGGAAAGGGGTGTGGTGGTGTGTGCCTATAATCCCATCCCTTGGAAAGAGGAAGGAGGCAGATCAAAAGTTCAAAGGCATCTTCAGTTATGTAGCCAGTTGGAAGCCAGTTTGGACTACTGGAGACTGATAAAGAGGGAAAGAAAGAAAGAAAGAGGGAAGAAGGGAAGAAGACAGGCTGACCCAGCTGTCTCTATAACACTGTCCTGAAAATTCCTTCTAAGGAGAAGACTGTACCGAGTGGGGAAGAATTCTTTTAGGGACTTTCTAGGTGGGATGCCAAGACTCTAGAAAGTGTGACCCAGGATGTATGGATCCTTAACTCACCTTTTAAAGGAAAAAGCTGAGGTTGGTTGAGGGCTTTTTTTTTTTTTTTTTCTAAATGGAGATGTAGTTTGATGCCCAGGCTGTTGGACAACAGAGAGAGTAAGTACTGCCAAGAGGCCTATTTGTTTGCATTCTCAACACCCAACAGCATCCAACCCCAGCTCCAAACACTCCCTAAGACATTCGAAGAATGAGTGCTCAAAGAGGCGCCTGATTGATTACAAGCCTGCCTGGAAGAATGACTTGTTCTCACCAACGTCTGGCTCCTTTTCTCCTTCTGAGTACATAGAAGGAGGCTCGTTTCCATTCCTCTGCAGTGACACAGGGCTTGGTGGCTAGTGCTGCCTGGCAGGCTGCTGGCAGGTCCAGATGTCAGAAGCTTCCTGGAGCTGCTAGGTGTACCTGGCTTTTCTCTTCCACAGCAGGGGGTCTTTGCTCAGGGGGTGGAGTCACAGACAGAAAAGGCCTCTAGTCTCTGAGTCTTAGCACATGGGGCACAGATCCTTGTTCTATCAGGTCAGGCTCCCTGGGGACTTCCAGCACTCAAGAAATAAACATTTCATAATGGCATAGAACCTGATAAACAGGTTAGTAGATTGTGGTGTGTCCACACAATGGAATATTATTCAGCAATAAAAATATTCAGAGTAAAAGTATCCATGCCACAAGGATAAATTTTGAAAATACTCTTCTTGCTTCGTGTATTAAAACATACCTTTAATCCCAGCACGTGGGAGGCTGAGGCAGGCAAATCTCTGTGAGTGCCAGGACAGTCCAGTCTACATAGTAAACAACAACAAATTATGCTAAGTGAAAAAGTGACAGACACAAAAGGCCACAAGTTACCTGATTCTATTTATATGAAATTACCAGAAGAGGCAGAGACAGGAAATAGGTTGAAGGCTGCCAGGAGCTAGGCTCAGAGGAGTCATAGGGAGAGATCATTCATTTGTGTGTTCCTGGATATATGGTTTCTTCATGGAACAGGGAAAATCGCTAGCATTAGGTATGGTGATAGTTGCATAACTCTTTGAACATATCAAAAATCATTTAATTGAATCATTTAAATAGGTGACTTCTATGTCATATGAATTTTATCTAACATAGTCATCACAGGAACAAAACTTTGTTGTGCTTAAATACTGAGACTGCAGGGCTAATTTGCTAGCACTGCAGCATAATCTTGTCTGGCCTAGATAAAATACTGCCTGAGGTGCCGTTATGTCTCCAGGCAGCCTCTCCTCCTTCCTTTAACGGAGTCTAAAGAGGTCATACGGGAACATAGATGAGGAGTTAGCCAATTCTGGCCGGTGAGTGGTGGGAAAAGTAGCATCTGGGTTCTGTAATGAATAATGAGTAGACAAGCTCCTCTTCCCCAGAAATGGATGGACAAGTGGATTAATGGTGGATGGGTGATGGGTGGGTAAATAAGATGGATAGATGGATGATGTATATATGTATGTATGTATGTATGTATGTATGTATGTATTTGTGTGTGTGTATGTATGGATTAGTAGATAGATGGATGGGGGGG